TAGATAAAAGGTGAGGTGAGTACTGTGGAAGTAGTCGAATCTGAAATGCGGTAGGGTCTTGGTAGTTTGAAGTCAGTAGTCAACTGTCAATTAATATACTTTTTGCCGTATGAGTATACGTTGCCCAGGGTGCACCACGAGGAGGCAAGTCTATCGCACACCCCCTGATGTGTATCATTAAAGCAGGAATTTAAAATTTTCTACTAGCAATCGTATCGCGAAATACGTTTCTATGCATGTCAGGTATTCACTCGGCAAATAGTAAACTGCAAAATTGTGACACTGGCAAGTTTTAATTATTTTATCTAAAATACTAAAAAATTAATCAATATCGTTTAAATTAAGGAAGTTACTTTGAATGCAATATATTTTTTAATATATTTAAATGCGAGTTTTTAGCTACAATGCTTCCGAACAGGCTGTTTTCTTTCTTGTATATTACATGTAATATAATTTCCTAATGGTGACATATCCTTTCGAAATTGGCAATCGATATTTAGTCAAGGGAGATTTTTCTGCGTGGCAACCAGGCTATCTTTTTCACGATTTCGGTATCAACAAGACCGGGAAAGGAAAATAGGTCAGGGATGCAGATAAAAGTCTCCCGTAAACTAGCCTCGAGGGTTGAATCACTGGCGAATTAACGTAATTTGTATAACGAATAGCTATTAAAGTTCCCATAAACAATGTGTAATTTTGAAATAAACCCCAGAAATCACTCTTTGCTGATTGATTTTCTACTTGCACTCAACTGAACCATCAAGTAATAGGTTCCCATTAAATCGACTCAGAAATTCAAAAGCCAAATATAGTCACTTTTACTTTCCTTTATGCCTAAGCAGGTTCAATTTTTCCTATCTACTTAGAATTCAAACGAAATTTGATACTTGGTGCTCTGGGCCTACTTTCCATATCCACCTCAGAGTTTTCCTTCTCTTCAGTTGAGGGTTAAAAATTCCAAATGGCCGTCAGTGCATCGTGGAGAATAATTAAATAACTATGATAAGATTAATCCAATCCATTATAGAAAGAGTTAATGACAGTTATCCTCTACTGAGGAATGATCATTCGGAGAATCTTTAATTAGAATTTCGCTTATTTTGTCACAACTCGTATTCACAATAATTCACGATTGGTTGGCAATTCATATCAACAGATGGGCCTCTATAATCATTTAACACTGTCTTTATGAACAGATGTCCGTGTTAACTAATGGACCGTTCTTCAAAATGAGTAGAATTCAATCATAAACGCAGCTGGAAAGACATTGACAAAGAAGTGTTTGATGACCTCGTCTTTAATTAGGAGTAACAAACAACATCAAATCCATCTGTTGTAATGTTAGGAACGGCAAACTGCGTTAGTTGTGATGACGTAAAATTACCAAGAGACTGGACACTTATTTTATAACTGTAGTCAATAAATCGTCGGCAGTAAATTTTGTCCTGAATGTTCTGCTTAGGTCTAATGTGTCTGAACGACGCAGACAATCGTCGACGCTACGCAAAACTGGCACGAGAAGTGTGGCATAAGTCGATGATGGAGCTGCTCCGTCAAACAACCAAACTCTTTCCACCTGAAAAGACACTTGATCTAAATTCAACCTCCCCGGAAACTGTGGAGTACTATCGATCACTGCTGGAGAGGCTCCGACCAGGAAATCTATGCGAAAACAGTGAAAAGAGTGAAAATGTAGTTTGGCAATGGGGACGAAGGCTATCCAAGTAGGTTTTCATGCATTGAGTGATTTATTTGATGAACTCGCAATCATAACCATTTTGCCATGCTTTTACTATTTAATTTTACTTTCAAATTAAATGTGAAAAGTAATGCTGGATGTATTTAAAGAAGATAGTGCATTTAATCATATTTAAAAATTTATTTCAAGTGGCGGGCTTCATGAAAGTTATTATAAGCCCTTTAGCTGACTTTGGGCTTCACAGAGGGAGGAACACCAAAGTGAGAAATTGTGGAGAAGGGGAACAGAAGAATGATTCAAAGATGTAAAAGAGACAGACAGACACAAAGGCAGAGAAAAGGTAAGATGAGTACTGTGAAGTGGTAGAACATGACATAGAGTTGGGTCATGGTAGTTAGAAGTCAGAAGTCAATTGCCGGTTTATAGACTTTTTTCCCGTATGAGAATACTTTGCCCAGGGTGCACTACATGGAGGTAGGTCTATCGCTCACTACCATATTTAAATAGGGTTTGCATTTGAGGCATGGAGTTTGCAATACAATATTTGATGAGGATTGGCAAAACGTAACTGAAGGTTCTAGTCCTGGTAAACAAAAATTCTATGCACCTATATCTTAATTAGGATTGCTTTGTTTCGTGAGATATAAGGGGAACTTTCAAGCAAATATGCTATAATTGTGAGAGAAACATTGGCTCTTTTTAAGAATAAGTGTTTAATTTTCGTTTATTTTTTTACATCTTAGTGTCTAGAGAATTACAAAGTCGCTTGCTATGCTGATTAATGGTGCTTTTTCTTTTCTACTAATAATATTTGAAAATGGTGTTTGGCCAAGTAGTACTAAACAATGCCAGTCTTGGGAGATCTCAAGACGCTTAAATATAAAATAAATTTACGAATATCATTAAAATAAGATGTTTAAAAGTCAATTGTTCAAGTACAACATATCAAGATGGAAAAGTTGCTGAAAATTTGAGCTGATGGCTTCTGCGAGAAAAAAAGAGAGATCTGTAGCGGATCGCTACACTATTGAAGCCTGACTGACTCAGAAATCTCTATGGCAGAATCTCCTCTGACTCAGAAATCTCTTTGGCAGATTCTCCTACATCTAGACCGACTCAGAAATCTCCATGGCAGATTCTCAAACATCTAGCTACCGGCTCAGAAATTTCTATGGCAGATTCTCCAACATCTAGCTAGGAATCAGAAATCTCTATGGCAGATTCTCCAACCTCTAGCTAGAGAACAGCTAAGCTATAGCTCAGCTATAAAGAAAACAGACGTGTAGCACGGAGCGCGTTTATATCTATGGCAGAATCTCCTACATCTAGCTAGACTCCCAGAACCAACTAAGCTCTAGCCCAGCTATGAAAGGAAACAGACGTGCAGCACTGAGCACGCTTATTCAGGACGTATATTGCGGATCACGTGTGTACACTCGGGGAGCTACTCATGATCAGGATGGGGGATTAGGTTAAACAAACAGAGGTTGATGATTGGTCACTGTTTGTAGGGTCGCTGCACACAGAGTTGTACGGCCGCACCTCCCAATCCTGGCGAGCAGACATGCAGGCATACGATGACGCACAGAGTGATAACGTGTCCCACAGATCTATGAAATTGACAATATTTTGAAATTGTAATTGCCCAAGATACGCGATTACTACTTAATATTCAAATTTAACAGTGATTTTTTTGTGAAAATAAATAAGTCGAAATTTTAACATCCTTCTTTGTACAATTGACAATCAATTGATTTGTTTGATCTTCCAATCTGCAAGACATCGGCATTCGCGGGTTTATGAAGCGTTAGGTCAACTTGATTCTCTCGCACCGTCAATGAAATTCATTTCCAACCTCTTCACAGAGATTAATTTTGCAGATGCATTTTTGACGATTAATAGTTTAAATTCTATCTTGAAAAAGTCTTACAATGCTATTGCTACGGAAGATTTAGCACTTTTTGAAATGTTTAATTCCTATCTGATGTGGGTAATAATAGATTGTTAATGACAAACAGTCAAGTTCATTTCAATTCTCTTAGCGTTATGCGTAAAGGTCAGTAAGGCGTGTACTATTATTAAAGTTTGATTTAGCTTTTACCTGGAGAGGGAATAGGAAAATTCGTCGATATTTAATGATTTCTCTGACGTTTAGGTTCGGGTTAATAAACCTGAGTCTTGAAAAATCTTGCCATTTTTATAGGTTAATGCCAGCTTATTTGAGACTAACCATCTCACCAACTACTCCCTTTTGAAGAAGAAAATTACTCACTAATAGTGGTTTTAAGAAGTAGGGAATCCAATGAGCCTGTCAACAAAATTCTAGTCTTAATGACACGGGGATTCTATTCCTTATTTTTTGTATTTGTGCATTTTGTGGCAAACTATAGTCCTAATAGGAATGTAAAATACCCAATCTCTCTAGTTCAATGAAACTGAGCTCTTGTTGTCCTAACGACATTATCCACCTTGTGGGACAACCTCTTCCCCAGTTCAAATTTATTTAACTCATTGGCTGCTATCTGCAGTCATTAATTATTCAATATTTAACTAGATATTATCTGTAATGACCAAATAAGGCTTCGTTAGTAGGCTTAAATGATTATCTCCATTGTACTCGAAAGGAACTGGGGAAACTCCATTTATCCTACATTGTATTATCGGTTATTATAAACCCAATCTAAACTTGGTGTCAAACCACCCGTGAAGTAGTCGTCATTGGACTTATGGTCTAACCAGAGAGCAAACCACCGTTTGTGCCATGAAGTCTGCGTATCTGTAGACAACTGGGCAGTTATGTAGGATTTTAACCAAAAGAGAATTAATCTAAATTTTCTTTCCATAAATTATCCTTCTTATAAGTGCATTCGGATCTCCCTGACTAGCTCGCAGTTCCAATAGTACTACCAGCTTGTGTGCTGACACATTTACATCCCCAGTTCTGTCTGCTCACTACTTGGAGTTTTTCTTCGCCCTCATATGCATTTTATGGGTACTCTCAAATTTTCCATTCTCTCGATACGCCCATTTTAATATAAGGTACGCCCACGCGCACACCCCCAAATCATATTAAATATTATTAAGTATTATTGTTCCATCTGTTTCATTCTCTTCTTCCCTCGTCTGCAACTCGTGTGATTTAACTGCTGCTTTTATCCGTAGGCAGACATTTATGCAGCCTCTCAGCAATATGTGCACTTACAGCTAAATTAACCAAATCGAATTGTTTAGTGATCCCAAGCATGAAATAGTAACTCTAAATAGTCACCGCTCGTAGAGAGCATATAATATAAAATAGCATATATAACATATAAAATTGGTCGTGGGGGGAGGGGGGGTCTTTTGCTGTTGAACGCTACTGATAATTAAGAAAATATCTCAATTTTGGGATTTTGGCTTTTCCTTTATCTGTAAAATTCTAGTTGTGCTTGGTTTCAAATGCCCATACGTCAAATCACTGGAGGTTTAATTAGGAAGAACTATCTTAAGACGGATGATCATTTAGTTAAATAAAGTGGGTTTATATCTTGAAATCTCAAGTGTTAAGTACTATTGAAACTATAGAGAATTAATTTGCGTATTAAAATAGCATTTTTCTAGGTGAAATTAGCCAAGTGAACTTCGTTACTGGCCTATAGCTCTCCTACGGTGGAGCTCAAAATTAATAAGCCCTAATCATCCTCAAACTCCACAATTAGAAGAAAAATCAGATAAAATTTAAAGCAAAGATCCTCAAAATACGCGAAGAGGGCCTTTGAGTATCACCGACTCAACAAGCCAACGTACTCTAATCTGAAAGATAGGCTTCCTTTGCTTAATCGCTGTAGCTGATAGTGCATAAGAATGAAATGCTTTATATACAAATGGATCAAAATGATCTCAATGCTTGTTTCTTGCAGTTTGGTAGAAGCTATAAATAATTTTTTATTAAATAATCACTAGCATAACATTATATCCTATCGATCGAGTATTTATTTGGCACGATGGCTTGTTACAAAATGCGCTACAAGAAATATATATATCTGTATATATTTGGAGAAATTAATCCTATGATCAAAACATGAAAGTTTAATCGTATACTAATTATGTGTCTTTCTTGATGCATTCAAAGTGACTTCAAATTATGGGTTGGTTGGGTTGGGTGTAGGAGTCATTTGAATGCCCACTTCAAAAGTGAGATGAAGAACGTCACTTTATGGTGAGCCTAAGTTGGTTCTCAATTTATATTTTAGGAGAAAAATCAGATAACTAACTGAGCGGTTTATTAAAGTTTATTTATGTCAAATGGAAGGCGTTTTGGTAATTATCATTAGCCCTTTAGTCTCGTGAAAGACTCATTCATTTGCCTTCCATGCTAAATGAATATGTATATTATTTATTTTATTCCCATTTAGCATAATGAAGTCAATTGAACTGAACTTTGACGGAGAGGGAGTCAGTTTTTTGCCAAATGGAGGACTTAACGTCTCGAAATTAATAATCTTCAACTCTAGGACAACCAGCGGTCGAATGAAATGGCATCGGGTTTGCATTTTTCTTTTGTTGATAAAAAATTCTTCATTACAAAAATTTTTAAAAAAAGCGAGCACGCTACACAATTGAAAATCAGTTGGCCTATTTCCACAAATTTTGTCACGTCAATAAATATTTTATATATTGATCCAATCAGGATCTAAGGTGGCATTCTGAGGGTATTTTGAATTACAGCCAAATAAAATACTAATAAAATCTTTTCATAATTAATTCTTAGGATGGAAATCCCAAATTGACTATTGACCTTTGGTAGTAGAGAAAAGAGCTGAGAATTGCGCTATCTTGACTATACCGCTGTTAAGAACGAAGCGAGTGTATAGCTTGCGATAAATATTTGAATTTCAACAGTTTGAGGATAAAAAAGTTGATCAAAACCAACTCACCCTATCATCAAAATAAAGAAAAAGGCCAATGAGAACTGAGCATCATAGACCGGCATTGCTCCAATTCATAGAATCAATCATGAAAATTGAACTTCGGAACACAAGCTGTTTATTTATTTTTTTTTCAAATTGCAGGCATTTTGATGGTTAGCATTAGCCCTTTGGCTGACTTCGGCCTTCACAGAAGGGAGGAACATTAAAGTGAAAAAAATTCGGCAGGGGAAAATAAGAGGGATTCACAGATGTAAAAGAGACAGATTGACAGACAGACACAAAGGCAAAGAAAAGGCTAGATGAGTACCGTGAAGGGGTCGAATATGCCATTCAATGGGGTCATGGTAGTTTGAAGTCAGAAGTCAACTGCCAGTTAATAGACTTTCGCCGTATGAGTGTACGTTGCCCAGGTTGCCCCATGTGGAGGTTAGTCTATCGCACACCCCGCTGTTTATTTATTGAATGATGTACAAACTCAAATCAAAACAACACAAGAAGTTAGGCACTTCTTTATTGTTTTTTTTAATTAATAATGACAAATCTCTGAGGTCAATAAAAATGCCCAAATTTCGCAGTGGTAGTCTTTGCTACAAAATTAAGCAAATATAAGCAAATTTTGCGAGAAACAAATGAATAAGGAATTGCCAATTCATGCATTAGTTGTCTAAAATTAATTCATTTTATCTAACTGGTATAATTGAAATTGCCCTCACTACTTGCTCGTCTAAATTCCTCACTAGACTTGTTGTTAATCGATTTACAGTTGCCCACCTAAACTATTATAAATTTGACAGATTCTAAATTGCTCATATCCCAAAAGCAAAATTAATCTATTGGGTGAGTCAAAATTGTTTTGCGTTTGAAAAAAAAACGAATGAGGTTATATTTGGAATTAGTTTTTTGAAAGAGGTCAAGTTTCCCATTTGAATGCGTGAATTTCAACTCCTCTAAAGTTTGAAATTTAGTGTCTGACGGTAAAATATCTGAATGCTCTATTAAGTCATTAAATACTTTTCGTTTCAAACAACTATAGTTTGAAATTTTAGCCAGGAAGTATTCCCTAGAGTTAATTTAAATTGAGCTCTTCTCATTTCTACGTATATGTGCACTTTTTGAATCAGATTGGATTTAAATTGCGGGTACGCTTTTATCAGTAATGTCTTTCGCTTCCAAATTTTTGTAGACATCTGAATTCTATGCATTCCAAGTTAAAGTTGTTTTGTAATAAATCATAGTAGTTTTTTGACAAAGAAGTCAAAAAGCAGAGGTATTGGTCTAAATGCCAATTCATTGCAGATGAAATTCAGAAAACTGACGTGAGGTACAGTAGTATCCCCTGTAACAAGGTTTGAAAAGCATGAAAATACTGATTTTATGACAACACATGGAAACAATTAACAATTTCATTAAAAAATGCATATATTGTATATGAAATTGTCCGCTTACATAACTACATTCTAATATCAAAAAGTTGTTAACCTCACTGTCATGCGTACATAAGCCAATTATTTAAAAACCCACTGTTTTGTTAAAAGTTTCCTTAACACTCCAACGGCCTTATAAGTGATTTCATTTTTTTAATCCTGAAAGTCTCTTCACCAGTTGGATTGATGGCGTAATCGGCACCACGGTTATATAATAGCACGTCTATGGCACTAAATAATATATCTAGAATGGAATAGCAAATTCAAGGCAATCAAAACAGATGTTTCGCTTCCCAATTCCACTTAACTAGAGGGCTTTGTATTTTTTTTTCAATTTTATTTACATTTCAGGGGAATTTGATCCTTGCATCTTCCTCTTGCCATATCCACATAATGTTTAGAGTTTTATTGTCGAACACGGAGAATATATATATCAGATAATTTTTAGAAACAAATCAAGATCGGGTTAAAATTGGTAACTTTCTTGAGGAGTTGATCAGCAAAATATGGAGAAAAATTAAATGGACGTCTACTCCCCTCCCCCTCCCCCTCCCACTTAATCTACTTCACTAAACATGGAGTGCGAAATTTCGATTTTATTCTCCCTTACTATAGTATGCGCCAAACTCACTCAGGTATTTTTATAACATTTTATAAATTTCTACTTCCGTTCAATAATATGA